CCTACGTATTAATTGATACATTTATTTATTGTACGGCATTATATTAATATGATACATGAATAGAATGGATGTTACGCGTAGACCTGAGTATAGAATTCTTATCGATATATTTTTTCAAACTGTCTTATCTCTATTACTAGTTCCGTGCACGTTTACTTCTGCTGTCAGCGCCAAAATGGCGAAAATCAAATCGCCTCATTATGTCACGGTTATAGCCAGTCCATATACAGAGATCAGTGCATTTTTAGTAAATTAGAAGTTACGAAAATCTTTGGCATAGTATAAAGAGACCAAAGATGACCACTTATCATTATAGCTCTACTCATAAATTACACGAAACATCTTTCAATAGTGTTTCTGTCTTTGCCTTATTTGAAAATTAAATTGGATAAAGCGAGGCAAGATTATTGAATCAATTTATCCAAAAAAAACCATAAAACCCAAATAAACGAAGAGAATTTCTACTAATAACTATAAAAGTTATTGCGATAAACTATCAACAAGCCATCTGTCTAAAAATAATATTGACATCAGTTCTTCTTTTTAATTTTTCACTATACCATTATCTAAACGTAGTGATTATATTCTCTTTGCCATTATCGTTCACAATCGGTCATATTCTATAAAAATCACTCACATACAGCTGTCAGAATCAACATCGTTTGGAAAGTCATAAAAGAATTTTCCCAATACCCCGAAATCCACCAATTAATCAATCAATTAAATGCACCATATGTCTCCAGGAATAAAAACTGTCATTGCAGAATCGCTATACCTGCTGGGTGCTCCATAATTTTTCGATAGTATTAAATCTGCTTTAAGAACAAATTTTTATCAGTTTTTAAAACATGTTGATAAATAATTAAAAAAGTTGTATGAAATATTTCTAGCCTTAGATTTCTAGAGTTGCATTGCCCGCTGTCCTTGCTTCCTGCTCCATTTCTTGCAGTGGCAGTGACTTGTGTACTTTTTAAGTTATTGTATGGACTCCTGCTTTAACCCAGCTTCATAGTAAAAAACCTAAGTTTCATTCCCAGTCACAATCCTGTTCATGATTTCCCTATTCTCACTACACTTGTTCAAAACCTCACATGAACACTCGACCCGCCGCTATTTCTGAAGCGGTATGAGTATTCTTTGCACTAATCTTGCATTGACCTTAGACATGCCAAGATGAACATGAAGAATATTTAAAACGGTCGTAGATGATACTTCTGTCATTTCTGCGATCTTTTTTTTCATCAGACGAGCATCTTCAAGAATAAGTTTTTAACTTTTTCGACGATGTCTGAAGAATTTACCTCAATTGGTCTGCCTGAAAGCTGATCGTTTTCAATTGAGTCTCTGCCTTGCTTGAATAGGCTATGCTACTTATAATCTCCTGTTTTTCTAGGGCAAGGGTTCCCGTAAATAGATGACTTCTCTTCTATTATGATATTTGGCATTTTTCCTTGCTTAGTGAGAAACTTAAGCACGTCACGAAACTGAATTTTCTCCATAGTTAATTTTCTATTCCCGATTGACTTATTTATCCTGTGACATCTCAAAGGTTTATTGTAAAAATGAACCTCCAACTTCAATGAATAAAATATAATAAAAGAATGTCACCTTCTGAATTCGGTGCAAAGAAATAGATGGATAGATAGATAACTAACTCTTTATTGCATTTATACAAAGTGGTTAAATTACGGAAAACGTAACATAGTGTAAAGCCCTGACTTAAGAATGTGAAATTAAATTATTATTTTTAATTATTTGAACTCGACTTTTACTTTTTATTAAAAGTTAGTTTCCTTTTCCTTTTTCAAAATATTATTATGTATATTACAATACATTGATTAAACAAATTATGTGGCAACTTCCTTATTTCTAATATTTACGCCAATACTACACATTTCAACAGTGGTAGAGCTATGCGGTAGCTTTTGCTGTCGCACGGATGGGCCAACTCGAACCGGGGTGGTACCACGACCTCACAGAATACCAGCGTGAAGTAGAAGTTTACCTCTGCGTTGCGCTTGGTGAGTGCAGGTGGCCGAAGGCCCAATCCCCCCCTCCCCCATCAACATGGTAGTGGAATTAAATAAAAGACTACTCCAGGAGGGTACCAGCACCCCTGGAGAATCCCTCGCTAAGCATCCACGACCAAACTAATTCACTCCTGAGCGTGGGTGCTCAGGCTGCCCCGCGTATTCTGGGGGGGGGGGGGGGGGGGGGTTGGCAAAATTCCGCTCGCGACTAATGCTGCTCGGGGCAAGCGGAGCAATACAACCAAGGCGACCCCTGTCACGCTATCCGTGAATTTTTGCAACATCAGGGGACTTCATTCCAACCTTAACGCTGTCCATTACCATCTAGAGACGGCGAAGCCGGCCTTGTTCTTTTTAACCGAGACTCAGGTGTCCTCTCCGGCTAATACTTCATATCTCTCCTACCCGGGGTACAAATTGGAACACTCCTTTGTGCCCCGGGCTGGAGTTTGCATATACGTCAGAGAAGACATCTGTTTTGGACGCCTCGGCAGTCTTGAAGTTATGGACCTGTCCATCCTATGGCTGCGCGTAGACAGCGACGACCATCACCGCGTCTACGGGTGCCTCTATAGGTCCCATAGCGGTAATGCCGACACAGACCGACTCATCGACCACGTCCAAATGGCTGCAGACTCCGTGCTACAACAGGTCCCATCCGCAGAGATCGTGATACTCGGTGATTTTAACGCCCACCACGCTGAATGTCTTGGTTCTCGTTTAACCGATCATGCGGGTAGATCTGTCTATGACTTTGCTTTGGCATATGGTCTAACACAACTGGTTACTTCGCCTACGCGGATCCCAGATGTGGAAGACCATGTACCTTCCCTGTTGGACCTTCTGCTGACCTCTCATCCGGACGGATATCAGGGCACCGTCGATGCCCCTCTGGGCTCTTCGGACCATTGTCTGTTCCGGAGTACGGTGTCACTCACGCTCCAATTGCAGTTGCGATCTGCAGCTTGCCGCCGTGTTTGGCACTATAGGTCAGCTTATTGGGACGGGATGCGGTGTTTTATTGCATCCTACCCTTGGGGGCGGGTTTGCTTCTCGCCGGAAGATCCCAGCGTTGTTGCCGATTCTGTTACTGATGTGGTACTTCAGGGTATGGAACTTTTTATTCCATCCTCTGTGGTGCCCATCGGAGGCAGGTCCCAGCCATGGTTTGGTCGCTCCTGTAATATAACATCACGTTATAAGCAGATATGGTGCAGCTATGGTGATGCCTTATATACCGGCCGTGCCAATATTTCTCGGGAGAACGTCGCTGAGTACCAGGACAAACTTGTGTCTGAAGTCGAGTCTTTGCTTAACAAAGTCTCGGATTGGGGCCGACTAAATCTAGTCCAGTTCAATCCCCAGAAGATACAAGTTTGCGCGTTTACCGCTAAAAAGAACCCCTTTGTCGTATCTCCTCAGTTTCAAGGCACTCCCCTTGCTGCCTCAGCTAGTATCGGAATTCTTGGCGTCAACATATCGAATAGTGTGCAGTATAGTAATAGTTGGAAGGGAAGGCCAAATTGGCCTCTAAAAAGCTTGGCATGCTCAGCAGAGCGAGACAGTATTTCATACCGGCACATCGCTTGCAACTTTACAAAGCGCAAGTTCGGCCCCACATGGAATACTGTTCTCATCTCTGGGCCGGGGCACCCCAGTGCCAGCTCCTTCCACTTGAGTGCATCCAGCGCAGAGCGGTTCGAATCATCGACGACCGAGTTCTTTCTGATCGACTCGATACACTGGCATTGCGTAGAGATGGCGCTTATCTTTGCGTATTTTATCGCATCTATCACGGGGAGTGATAGATGCGATAGCTCAATTTCACAGCTCAATTTCACCATCGCACATCGCGACAAAACTCGCGTTACCATCCATACCATCTGGATGATTGGCGGTCCACCACTGTGCGATTTAGAAGAAGTTTTCTCCCTCGCACAACTTCCTTGTGGAATCAATTACCACCAGCGAATTTTCCGGACCGATACGACTTAGGAACCTGCAAGAAAAGAGCTTACACCTTTCTAAAAGGCCGGCAACGCATCTGCAATTCCCCTGGTGTTACGGTTGTTCATGGGCGGCGGTAGTCACTTACCATCAGGTGAGCCGCATGCTCGTTTGCCCCCTTTTCCATAAAAATAAAAATTAAAAAAAATGAAATACTTTTAAATAAGGCTATGATGACCGATTAATGTAGTTTGACGGTAGCACCAAACCGTCTGCCACTTAGAACTCATGTGGCGATCGTACAACGTTAATTTTCGTCGTGAAACTCGTCGTAAACTATATCTAACGTGATTTGTATAATTAATTATGTAACATGTCAAAGAATACCCTGCTGGGTTTCGTGCTGGTTTCACCAAGACAGAGATATTTTCCGAACCAGTGGTAAATTAAACTTAAGAATGACTTTCAATGATAATTTTTTGTAATCTATATTGAATTAAAAAAATCTGTTCTATCCCATAGATTACCTCATAGGGGAATATTTGGCAAAGTTTCCAAGTTTGTAAGGCAGATTGGCAACCGCGGTCTTTTATTTTTATCTCGTTCTCTGTCGCTTCATACGAAATCCACGAGATGATGGAGTAATGGATTCTCTTCCGATCCTACACGGCGTTTACATTTTATCCGGCTTACAATAAATTGTATAGGAATCAAGAAATCATATCTGCATCCACCGACTTCCTGCATTTCTTCATCTAGTGGGTGCCCATACTACACGCGGGTGCTGTACTACTGTACAAAGCTGTCACTTGAGAACCTTTCTTCCCCATCGGCTATAGGTTCGACTCGCTAGATGGTCAGCCCATTGACATATCATCTTACTGACCCATCGGTCTGTATCGTTAGGTATATAAAAGATTAATATAAAAAGCTGTAAATATTAACATTAATTTCCCCTTTTCCTGCTCTTTATCCATGTTTTTTCCCAACACAAAAACCTTACAACAATAAAACAAAACAAACCTCTCAATCCCGTTCAATTCTTCCATTACAATATACTTGAAGCCATGAAGATCAGTTCTCTTGCAAAAGTCCACAAACTTTGTGGCACAGAACTTAAGTTTCGATTGAGTATTCCTGTTTTTTACTTGCTTGGATTTCGTATCGAAATAGGGGCCATATGCATAGTGAACCATTTTGACGTTGTTTGTTTTAAAAACTGCTTGTAGTTATTAAAAACATGCAAGCCGTAGTGTCGCTTTTTTCCGAATGAAAAATTTATACACATTCATCGTCAGTACGAGAAACTGCAATTACGAAGGCTAGATCAAATAGATACGGAACATACAGCTGCGTATACAATATGAACAAAAAATAAATTTTCTTCATTAAATATTACTTGCTTTTTTATTTCATTATAATATTAGGTGTATAGGTATCTTCTAATAAACGGATAATTTAATACAACTTTATTCAAACACTGATATCTAATTTTACTTTTAAAAATTATTTTTTTAATTAATAGTTCTTTGTTTAAAAATTCACTCGTTTGAATGCATAACTTGTACCACGAATGGGTCGGCTCGACGGGAAGGAACCGCGCTCCCGTTATATAATTACATCCACGCAATATAAAAAACAAGTTTCTTTTATATTCCGTGATTACATCGTTATAATATAGCAGCATAATGCTTCTGTGTTTTGTATAGTGAATGTAAAGAATCGACGACTCTTTTTACTGGTAACGAGGCATTTCATTTTACTCCTCAGGGGTGACAATGCGCTTTCATTCGCGATCCCACATATCTATGTGGGTGTCTATGGGCCACAACATCCACATACCATCAGGTGGAATGAATGCTCGTTTGTTACTGTAAAAAAAATTACTGCTCTGAACTTGGCGGGCGGTTTTATGGTACCGTCAAACTGAAAGTCTGCTATTTATCGGTCAGCAAACCCATATTAGAGGAAGGTCCCTAACTTTACGGATTTTATCGCGTTTAAAAGTTAGTTTAATTCAATGTGTAGTATCCGCGTAAATAATGGAAATAATTAAGTAACTACATTACTAATGTGTTTTCTAATAGATATACATAATATTTTGATAAATAATAAAAAAGCTAACTTTTTATTAAAAGTATATGGGCGCGTCTATAGAATACCGGATGGATCGAGAGTGAGCGTAAGGTTGCATCAATCTAGCGGAGTATCATATTGATGGTGGCGTGGTAGAATTGAGGGTATATCGAGAAACCCCCACTCGTTTGTGGAGTATCAGGTTCACTGTAGGCGCCGTGCACAAAGATTCCGCTTAAGCAATTCGACGAATGCTCAGACTTGTAGAATTGACAGTACGTGCTTCTGTTCGTTGTAGTAATTTTTCTAATTTTTCTGGCAAAGAAAATGGTATTACTGAACGGCCGCTCTGTGTTCCAATAAGATGGGTAGAGTTGCTGTTGGTTTGCATACTTTGGCGTTATCATGTGATTACGTCCCTCATGTTACACTAATGTGTAATTGTGACGGCGATATATTACGGTATGCTCGAACTGTAACTGCTCTATACCAAATATATAGAGATTACAGTACGCTGTTTTATTGCTGATAATGATTAATTTCGTAAGTAGAACAAGAGAGCAAGTTGGACACTACTACTAATATTATTTTTAATATTTCTGACAAGTAAAAACCGATTTCAAAGACGTAATAAAAAAAATCACATTCTTAAGTCGAGGCTTCCTACTGTATACCATACCATTACAGCCTATTCATATTTTCTTACTGACCGTCAGTACAATATACAACTGCTGCTATATGTCACACTAATAATTTTAAAAAATAAATAATACTACTCTATCAGTAATATTGTGCATTGTGACCATCGCACTTTCACGTGCGTGAAAACAGTCAATTAACCTACGATGAAAGATAATCAGGGGTTTTGAAAAAAAAATCATTCCAGCGTACAGTAAGTACATTATCGTTCATTTTTCATTTCATGTCAATGCGATAGATACTTTTAAGCTAGATGGTTTAAAAAGTAGTTAAAGCTTAGTATGAATAGTTAATGAAAATATTATTAATAACAACTAAATTACTACCAAGTGGTCTTTTTTTTTAATAGAATAGGGTGACAAACGAGCACACAGTTCACCTGATGGTAAGTGGTTGCTGTGGCCCATAGACATTTATTTTCTCTATTCTACATTTATCCTCGTTTGCGAATCAAAATGCAGATGCGTTGTCAACCGTGAGGACTAAGATGGAATGCCTCTTTTCCAGTAAAAAGGGTCTCCGATTCTCCACACTCACCATACGAAACACAGCAGTACTAAGCTGCTATTTTACGCTGGTATTCTGTGAGAGCGTGGTTCTACCCCGGTCGAGCCGACCCATTCGTGCTACAACTATACTACTGCTGCAGCATGGCGTATAAATCCTTCAAACCACGTATAAATCTTTGCTGAATCCGTCTAATAGCATGTAGGGTTTATGCTTTCATAAAATATGATAAGTAGTTTGTTTACACACAAATTTATTGGAATCTGTACACTTAAAATCTTAACTTTATTATATGATACGTCAAGCGATGGAGTATTTCATCCTCTTCGCTGTCGTGCCCATTGGTGGTAAAACTCGCACTTAAGCAACGCCGAGTGCTGAAACGCACAAGCATATGGCGTACTTATCCTGGGTTGATGACCAGGAAGTCGATGGATGCAAGGGTCTCAGGACCGTGTTTTGTGGCATTCCTTGGGGAGGGCTATGTTCAGCAGTGGACTTATGAAGGACTGTAATGATGATGATGATGATGAACTCGGGACCACAAACTACGGATGTTAGCTTAAGAAGAGAGCTACATTTACCTGATATACGTCATCATACACCAAAACCTAGGAGCACCAAAATTTGCCATATACCACAAAAAAAGAAAATTTAAGCAAAAACAATACGCATTCCAATCTATATCTCTTTACAATAAATTTAACAGCAGATTGCATATTAACCCCTTGACGTGGACTAAAGTCAAACGTGTAGTAACACAATTTTTATTAACACTAAGCTACGAGGAAACTGAACAATTTATTATTTGACTTTTATACTTGGAACAGCCTCACCAATTGTTAAAGCACTGTTCACATACCCACAACACACACACACACACACACACACACAAACACGCGCGCGCGCGCGCACGTTCGCACGCACGCACACACACACGCACGCACGCACGCACGCACGCACACACGCACAAAAAAAAACACACACACACAAACACACACACTGATTATATTACAAATTACATTAGTCCATAATGCTAGCGCACGCCTTGCCTTTTTTTGTTATTTATTAATTAATATTGTATTGTCTTGGTGGATGAGCGGGGTACCCAGTAATATAGGTTACCAACCTAGAACAGGGGCCCTTGCGACTGCTTTAAATTGTATCTTTGTAAATCAATAAATCATTTTTCATTAAGAAGAGAGCCTTTAACCAAGCCGCCAAGTCCTGCAAAATGGCATTACGCCAAGCCAGTTTCGACCGCATTAAAAGCATCGATACAAAACTCTCTGTCAAACCATCCATTTTTGGTCTCTCGTCAAAGCGGACGAGACAAACCCCCCCTGCAATTTTAAAAATTTATCGAAGTCAAAACTTCTTTAAATCCCCCCCCCCCCCCCCCCTCTACTAACTTAACAGATCGGCATGTGAAAAGTATACCCAATAGTAGTTTATATAATGCAGTTAAAAGGAAAACTATCACAGCTACGTAGAATCAAGAAGTTAACGAGTAATAGTTGACCAACTTATAAAATACACTTGGATTAGTAAAAATTTCGCTACATTTTCATAGAAAAAGAACTAAGACTAGCTGCATAAATAACTTTGTAATGTTATTATAAGCTGTTAAAAATAAACATTTTATGAAGAAAACGGCTCATATGCATTACTACTATTAGTTTTGGCGAAGCGCTTAAAAAAATAGTTTATCATTTTCTTTCCATAAAAAATAAGCAATTGTGCGTTTTGAAAATATTGCTATTAAATTGTATAAGGCGCTTCGAATAAAGAGATAGTCTATGTTAAAAGTAAATAGATTCAATATAATGTCGAACGAAAGTTCGGGGTTCGATTCCCCAGTCGAGTATTGATTTCATAAAAGTTTGTATTTAGATTAATTTAGAGTCACGTGTTACATAATAATCAATTTTGCAATACGAATAAAAGCGTTCAAACCAAACTTATTTGAACCTGAAGACAATTTATAGCAGTGATAATTGAGAATTCATTTGAGATTCTATGGTGTGTAAAATCTTCAATACAATAACCTTGAGAGCAATTCATATTGCCTAAAAATAGGTCAACCCGAAAGTAATCGCTGCCCCAAGCTCGTCATCCGTCATGTTTGCCTATCCGGAATATACTAGCACGTTCGCAGAGCGTGTGGATGCCGTGTTTGTGTTGGGTGAATGTGGTCGGTGTTTGTTCGTGTATGGTGTACGTGGCAAGCACCAAGCGTGTGGAGGCGGCATAAAATTTCCCCTATACAGGGCTGTCCCAGAAATCGACGTCAAGCCGGAATCGGGTGATAGGACAAATCATAATAGTTACCAGAAAAATGTAAAAAAAATCTTAGTAATGTATTTTTTAAATTACAGTAATTTCTTTTTTTTTTTTTGAAAATGTACAGCCTGTGATGTTTTATAGCTCCTTTAGCTACAAATCTTTACTTTTTTTCAATTTTTTTTGTGTAATCTAGGTAGCGCTTGTGTAACCTGTTGTTTTTAATTCTTAGCTAACTGCTCCAACTTAGAAGAAAATGTCACATTTATCCGAACCAAGGATGAAAAATTAATATTTCGCCCAACTTTAACTGGCTGTACTGAAAAAAATGTACTACGCCAGTTTAGCAAGTAACCTTAAAAGTTGACACATTTAATAAGGATTCTAAAATGGTATAGCACTTGTTACATTATTTCTTAGATTAGAGGGGAAAAAATTTTTTCTTCAAGAATCCCAGTTTAAAAAAAATCTTGTTATCCACTAAAAATGATTTTAGTGTAACCAAAGCTTGTAACTAAGATACCACTTTTAGCGAGAGGAAGTATCATTCCATGAAGTGTTAATGAGACAGATAGTGACGCTTTCGATTCAGATGCTAATGGGTGAGTGAGACAGATAGTGACGCTTCCGA